GCTTATACTCCATTTTCCTCTTGTTAAAATAAGACTTTGATCTCTCAGTTTACTTCCTTTTGTACTAATAGTAAATTATTTTTTGGAGTTCTATGACTGGATATAAAAAAAGTTTTCTTTTTAAACAGTCTATGTTAATAAAAAACCACAAAACCCGACAAACGAGTCCTTCTGATATACTTGCCCTATTCACATGGCCATAACTACTGACAAGAGATTTATTGTTCATTTTGTGTAATCAGGAAGCGAAAAGACCAGGTAGTGACCTAAATCAAACTTTTAATCTTTTAATTTTAAGAAAATATTTTAGGACTGAGCAACTTTGCAATTCTCTCCATCGATAGCCATTCACTGACAAGTTGTGTACTGACTTACTGATTTTTAAAAATTTATTGATTAGTTTGCTGAAAGTTTTTTTACCAACTTTAAAAAAGCTTACATTTTCAATCTCCTATTGCTAATAAATTACAATGAATGAATTATAAAGGATGGGAAATCATTAGTAGCTTGAAAAAGCTCAGCATTAACATACTTTGTAATTTAAAGTAAGTTTTATCCAATCTGCTTTATATTTTTCTATATGTATGAATAGTAGCATTGTTTGAAAAAATATAACTGATAAGTACTAGAATATTCTTAGCAGCACTGCTGATAATGGACTACTGAATGTCCATTAACCAGCAGAATGAATGGTGGTATATTCAGATAATGAAATGCTATATTGCAATGAACTAAATTAAGTTATATGCAACAACATGGATTAATCTCAAATATCATTATGAAAAAATACGTAACAGTATTAACCCAATAACATAAAGTTTAAAAACAGACAAAATTAAACTACCTTGTTTAGGGATATGTATACATGTAAACTATAGGGAGGTAGGGCAGCACATGATTAGGGAAGGGCCTAAGAGGGTGCCTCTGGGATGCTGATAACACCCTGCTGGTGGTGGTTACATGAGTGTTTGCTTTAAAAGTACTTGGCAAATTGTACATATGTGTTTTATACACTTTTCTGGATATGCTATATTTCAAAATTTTAGAAAAGTAAAACACATAACTGGATGTCTAGTTCTGTTTGGTACTCAAAACATCTGAGTTCATGTAAGAGAGAGGATGCTTTCAAATATCTATGGTTATTCCAGTTGCAAATCACTGAAAATATCACAAACATCCAGCTGACGTTCTTTTTTCCTAGAACCCGTCTCTCTTAACTAACCTTGATCATCTGCAGAATTCAGGTTAAGAGTTACTGCCTCCCACCAGTCTTCCCTCTCTCAATGCCACTTTCCACCACCCATCTGAGCCAGGTATCGTTCCTCTCGGTTCCCTCAGTACCCAGGATAGTTACGCATTCATCACACCTTCCTGCACTGGTCTGCTGCCTGTCCAGATCCCTCTCCCACCTTTTCAGCCACTCCGATGGCACTAGACTGTAAATGATCTCAAAAGCAGCGACTTTGTTCTCTTTTAATATCAAACACTTGACAGATATGAGATATTCAACAAGTTTTTGATGATCAAACAAACAAATCAACATATATTTCCGTAATTCCAATAAACAACACTTTTTGTCAATTTTTACTCCAGTGACATGAGAAATATGATGAAAAGCTTTTATATCTCAGTGCATAGTAAGTATTCAATAAATGGCATGAGTATGAGAAAGCTTTGCAGGAACGGAAGAGGGTTAAAAAACACTAGCCACAAACTAAGATTATCGCTAAGTCAAAAGCATCGACAGTCTCGCTTCTCTTACAGACAATTTAATAACAAAGATTCTCATAAAGAAGTTTTAAACACACTAGCAATTTAAAGTAATATTTCACAAGCAGTTTTGACTATATGACCTACTGTCATTCCTTTTTAAGCCTACAATTCTTCAAGTATCAATCTCTTTGTAATATCTTTTACTTACATGTTTTTGAAATGGATATATTTCTTTCAATTATAGTACTGGGTTCTAAACAGAGAATCTTATGTAAATCTTTAGCAAAAGTTAACTTTAGGATACAAAGTTTAACATTTAGCATCTTTTTTGACATGTCACAAACTCAAATGATGCGAAATAAGAAATATATATATATTAAAACATATACTCACAAAAAATAGAACAAAATATCACGAAGTCCTTAATTTGGACACAAAAATGAAGTGGGCTGGGCTCTTCTCATTAGGCTGATTGCCTTTTACTTAAAGGAAGGAGTCTAAATGTCTCTGCCTGGAACTCAAAATCCTCCATACTCCAGTCTGAATCTAATTTGCCAATTTCGATTCTCATTGTTCTCCAAGAACACCACCTACTTAAGTATACTGGTTACTCAATTATCTCCCGAACCCATCAAGCTCATGATGCCTTTGCTTACTCAGGTTCACTCATACAGAACTAGTCCCTTCTCCACGTTTCTCTTAATCCTACTCATTCTTAAAGGCCCGGCTTGCTTACTCCCTTCCACTCTCCCCCAGGTTGTTCCAGCCCAAGATGATCTCTCCTTCAACTCCTTCAGCAATTAGCATTATAACATGGAAAAACTTGCTGTTTTTTGTTGTTGTTTACTTCTTTAAAAAACCTTTTGAAATAGAATGCATACACAAGAGAGTGCACAAAAGTAAAAACCTCAATGAATTATCCCTAAGTGAATACACATGAAACTTCACCCAACTACAGAAACAGAAAGCTGTTAGTGCCTGAAAGCCCCCCTTCTCTAATCACTAACATCCTATCTCCCCCACAAAAAGGTAACCACTATCTAACTACAGTAACTAATCCCTTTCTCCCTTTTCTTTATAGTTTTACTATCTAAATATGCCACCCCAAATACTATGGCATTTTGAATTTTATACACATAGAATCATACAGTATGTCTTTTGTTTTGCCTCATGACCTCTCTTGAGCATTATGAGAATTATACATATTTTGTAACAACGTTCATTTTCATTCTGTACAGAATATATATTTACACTTATTTAAATAGACGATTCATTTCTATCCAATCTGCTATTGATGGACCTTTGGGTTATTTAACTTTTAAAAAGTATGTATATCTTGTCTCCCTAGCTAGATGGCAGGAAGCGTATATTATGCTATTTTACGTCTACCTTAGTATTTGCATAATGCTACTAAGTACAAAATGGGTGTCCCCAATCACACTAAATATTGATTAAATAAATCTACAAGTAGTTTGGGAGATGACAAGAAAATAAGTAGGGCTGGAAATCAATGTAATATTTTTGGAGATAGTTATGTAACTGGCATTTTGGAAAACTACCACTACTACTTTATCAGAAGGTTTGACCTCTCCTATGTATTTACACCTAAAGATTTATCATTACTTCTTCCTGAGCTAACCAAAAGGCAAAAAATTAACTATCTTCAAAAATAAAATTAGAGCAATTAAAAAGGCAGTTAATTATTATGCACCCATCTTTGTGCAGTATCTCACCAATATGTTGAGCACCCACTATGAGCACAGCTCTAAAAGAGCTCCTTTATTTCTTTATTCTTTTTCCTTAAGTTGATGGTAACTATCATATATTTGGAAACACACAAAGAGAAGTCCAAAAGTAGTTTCTCTACAGAACGGAAACAAAAATTCTAGCATCTAGGCTTAGCAGGAAATTATTTCTATTCAAAACGAAAACAAATAAAATAGCTTTCTAGTTCTATTATGCTCTTCTTCTACAGTCAGTGAGTGCTTCCTTGGCACTGTGTAAACATTTCAAAACAACATTTTATACCACCTAATCTTTGGACCTACTCTGACATCCTCATGGAGAGTCAGTTTTGCTTTTTCATTTATTTGACTTTTATAAAACTAGAGCCTCATCAACTTTTTCAGCAAAGAGGACAATACAAGTCCAGGAAAGATTTTCTGGTATATCCATGTGTTGGCCAAGTATATATGGGCATGCTGCTAACATCAATTTTAATAATACACAGGCTATAAAAAGTCTTGTAAATTTTGTTCAAGTTGGTAATTTGACATGACGAAAAATTTTTAAAAAGTGATAAAAAAAAAAAAATGTACGGCCTAAGATAAAAGGGTATTCCCAAGGTGAGGAATCAATGTAGAAAAGATGTTACTAGATGTATGTAGCCAACTCATTTCTACGTAAGGACAATTATCAAAGTTAAATGGAGTACCTTTAAAATATAAAGTAACATTTTAACTTGATAAATTTTCAAAACTAAGGCCAATGATAAACATGCATTTACTTACTTACTAAAGACTTTCTTGGAAAGGAAGTAGATTGTTTAAAATATTACGGTTATATAGCTTTATAACCTCCTTATGAGAGAAGGAAGTGATGGGAAAACAATTAAAAGTTAAATTACAAATAAAGGATAATTATACTAATTGTTAGAAATGCTATGAAAATATTAGGTTATATCACAAGACTTGTTATCTCAAGACTAATTCTATTATAAAATAAATGTTCTGTTAATAAGGGAAAACTTAGAAAGAGCTTGATTTTAAAACATTTTGTAAAATTAATCCTCAGCTGTTGATATTTCACTTCTAAAGAGCCACAAAATAGAAAAAGTTACTTCCTTATAAGAAATCTACCTACTGTTTATTTTTGTAAGACAGCTAATCAGACATGTTCTTTATCTTATCACTTAAAAGATTTTTTCTCCCCAAAGCTCAAGAAGACTTCAATGTGTGGGCCTTCTTTCTTAGTTTAACGAGAGGTTATTTCAGCATCAATCTCACCTGGAAAACAATAAGTACAAAACTACACTGTGTTTTATCCTCTCTTGGATCCTCTAAACTTTTGGAGTAATTCTGTAATTAAATTACACTTCAAGTAATTAGACTTCTGGATTTTACCCTCCAAGTATCAGCCACCCTCTCGAACTCCCCAGCCCCCAGGTGACTACAGCATAATTCTAAGGCTGACTCAACATTAATCAAAATATTCTATCACATTACCTCCTAAAAACATCCCAGGATTTAAGAGTCTTTGAGACGGCCTAGCAGACTCAACTCCATTACCTCTTTATCTTTCAGTCCCAGGAGCAGCACTTCTTCCATGAGGGTGAGGCGGATATCCTTAGAGTCCCCAGAGTCTTCATTGTCCGGAGTCCTGTCTTGATTAGCATCTCCCTCACTTTCTACCTTCTTTTCAGAGTTCCTGCCTACTTCAGTGCGACGGGCCCGGTGAGTTAAAGTGGTCATTCTGAGCTGCTTCTGGAGGGGTGATGAAAAAATATCTCTATGTGTGCTCATGTAAATAAATACATATGCTATTCATTTGTGCACACTAAAATGTATACAAATAAAAGACATTTATAAACTTAAACACAGAAAGAAAGGAAGGAGTAATGACCAGGAAAATTAGGTAACACAATATCTTTCCAAAGAACAATAGCTTAAATTCACAGAAGGCACTGACAAGAAATCAAGTCAGTAATTTTAAAGACCAGTAGAAATGATCACCTTTTAAACCTGTCGATTTCTTGTGCATAATCTATGAACCAGGAGTGCCTATCACTATGACTCCTCTTTCACAAAATGGATCCTTCCCAAGTTAAATAAGGGACAACAAAAATTGTGAGCATCCAGCTCCCAAATGCATATAATTTATATATAACTTCTATAAACGTTCAATGCTATATTATAAAACATACACAATAATTATAAAGTAAAAAAGCTTGTAAAAAAGAAATAGAAATACACGTCCTAATATTTTCTTCCCAAACCCTAATCACTCATTTCATGCACTCACTTAGATCACTACTCTAAAGAATAATGCTCAGATCATGTAGAGTAATTCCATATAGTCAGAAAACTGTCATCTCTATCCCTAGCTAGCCAACTTGCAAATACACAGTTGCCAACAAAAAATACTTGCAAGACAATGTTAAAATATTAGCAAATTCTTCTTCAATTACAAAAAAACTCAAAGCACAGTCGAAATTGCACTCCTCGTTTCTGATTAGTTAGCATACTTTATTTTAGATAAATCTAAATGCTAGTTTTAAAATGTACAATATTTTAAATCACCAATCATTTAAGAATATCTTTTTCTACATCGAAACAATGCATTCAAGAATCTCTGTGACTGCATCCCATTCTACTTTCTAGCGATTATTTCCCATTACTTTCAGTCATGTACTGTGAACAAACCATTTCTCACACATGTCCCATGCCTTTCACCTCTGCTCCTTTGTACATACTGGAATTCTCTCCCTTTTCCCTTACTTTGGAAATTCTACTCATTCTTCAAAGGCCTATGGAGGGTCCACTGTAAAGGCTTAAACGAATCTCCTTCTCTATTACCCCTATGTCCCATGGCCAGAATTGGTCTCTCCCTCAGCTGTACTTCCACAGAACTTTATTTATACTTACTTCCTTTAAAGTATTTATTATAGTCTTTCTTTTGGTATGGCTGTCTCTCAACTGTAAACTTCTTGAGGGTAGAGATATTGTCTTCTTGGGTTTTTTTATTCTCCATAGCAACTACCACAATGTCTTTAACGTTGTAACTGCTCGATAAATATATACTGATTAAAATGAATTCTCAGAAATGCATGTGAACATTTAAAATAGAAATACAAATGAAGTGACTTACAAAAGACTCTTGTACAAGGCTCTATTTCAAACAGAATTCTTGGTGGGAGGTGGGAAGAAGAGTGGAGGAGGAAGAGAACCATGAAATAAATGCTTAAGGGCACTACTGGGATCTGGCGCTGGGTACAGGGCTTATTTCCTAACCCAATCCAAGAAACTTTAAATCTTCGGGCAAAAGGAATAAAGGAGGCTTTTCTTTGAGAAATGAATCCGCCCCCCCCCCACCCCCGAGACATTTACTAGTTAAAAATCCTAATTAAAAAAAAAAGGCCAAAAAATTACTTTAAAAAACCTCCCTCTCTCCACACATACACACAAAAAATTTGTAGGTTTTTTTTTTTTTTTTTGGACGTTAGGAAATGTATTTCCCCCGCTGCTTACCTGGCGTTACTCCTGGGTTACCGCCGGACGTAGGCTGCAGCTTGCGCTCTATTTTAAAAGGAAACCCGTCCCCCCGCCCCCCACCCCCGTCCTAGTAGGTGAAAAACTTCTCAGCCACGCAGAGAGCACAAACTTCCTGATCCTTCGATGCAGAGAATAACACATCAGCTTCTTCAGGATCCCTAGGCAACCTACCTTGGTGTTCCTTCATTGGACCAATCAGAAACCGCCAAGGTTGAGCCCAGCCAATCGGAGCTCACAAGAGGAGGCTCTCCCGCGGCTATTGTGCTGCGATCCAGACAACCACCAAAAGGAGGCAGGTTTGGGTTCAACCTGACAGCTGGTCAATCCAATGAAGGAACCTTGGTAGAGCAGAGGAAAGAGGGCTGCGCTCCCCACCCCTACCAAACCGGCCAATCCAAGCGTTCAGTGAGCTAACAGCAGCTGCGGTCGACAAAGGTTTCGGTTGGTCAATCCTAGTTGCAGCAGGTGTGTTACTGTAGCAGTGTATACTGGGACAGTTAGGTAAGATGTGTTGGGATGCTATAAAGCTAAGAATACACATTTTTACAGGTGGGTACTGGACTTATGAGGGGATCGCTTCCTAAATTATATAAATGTCTAACCACTATGCTGTACACCAGAAGCTAATATAAAATAATCCTGAATGTCAACTGTAATTGAAAAATAAAGAGTCAACGTCTTTTAACTGGTTGTTTTCGATAATTAGCTTATCCCTAACTTTCCTGTTCCAGAAAAACCTGATCTGGGTCAGTTTGTGGACGTTTATTTGGTTTACATTAAACAGGACGGGTACATTTCTACCATCACATACATACCAACATTCTCTCTTAGCGCTTGTAACTGGCAAACCCACGGATAATGTATGTTTATAGAATGTGGCTGCTGAAACCGCAAAAGGCAAACAGACCAAGCTTTAAGTCTTCCTTTTCTAAAGCAAAGGAAACAGTCAAGGCCAGAAACAGTCCCAGGTTTCTTGTTAAAAGCACAGTATCTTTCACATTACCACTCAAAAGTTCTACTCTTGCAAAGTAAGTCTACCAAAATGATCTCAAAATTAGTGTTTAAACACTTAATGTTAATTGAAAATTAGAAGCCATAAAAAAGTCTAGATGCTGAACAATATTTTATTTATGCTCCCCAAAATGCCAGACTTTCAAAATCAGTCATCATTGTCTCGTAGTAAAAAACGTTTTTAAAAGAGGTAAAGTACCTATGTTTAATTGTACATTATATATTAATATACTATATTAAGGTACTGAAGAACATTGTTTTAGTAACTGCAAACACAGCCAGTAATGGTATAGTTTTAACATAAGTAAAAGTGTATTCCTTCCACAATTTAATACCAAAATGAACATTATTTGTTTCAAATATGGCTTTAGAGGACCTTAAAAATTAACGTATTTTTAAAGGCAGTATCCACCAAAATGGAAGATAGATCAATATTGAGTAGATAATTATGACACTGGTTCTTGTGGTTTTATTCATAAGTTCTCTTGGATTTGTCTCAGATAATGTTAAGGATCACGATGTGATAGCTAAGAATTCAATTTTAATTGCCTCAGACTACATATAAGTTTTCCAGAAGTAGGGCAAACACACCTTAAAATAGTAATACAGTGTCCTTTAAATGTTGCAATGAACTTTGCAAACATGCAGAAGAAAAATAATTTTTATATATGTTCTTTTGGTTCACTGAACTTCCTTCTTTTGGGGACTGATTCTTGACTAGAAGAATCAAAGTGATGAAGGACCTGTCAAAAGAAAACAACTACTAAGAATATTTTCTAGTTTAAAAGTCTTTAATTTTAGATCTTTTCCATGTCTCTAAGGCTTTTTTCCTCTTTTTAAAAAATTATACCTAACATAACTATTTCCTACTAAGATACATCACCTGGGTTCTTTAAAAGTAGGGTAAATTTTATTACTGACATATTTATATCTTCTCAAGGCTGCTGAAAGTATATACTTACAGAGTATAAGGTCCTCACTAGGGTTGCAGGAGTAGATAGATGTAACATCATGCCCTCAAAATAAGAAAATATTTTGGGGGGACGAGAGTAGAAAAAAAGATTTAAAAAGTAGCTGCAAACTGAGAAACATTCTACCTTGGCACAATGTAAGATTTAAATCATGTTTTGTTTTAGTATCCCTGGTACGTAGCAGTGCCTAATAGGGACATTCAATGTACACTTCTGAATGAATAGGAGGGTGAACTAGGAAAATTCCTAACATTAGAAAAAATTAAAGAATCTAATATATTAATGGAATGTCAGCTTATCCCATTCTATTCTTGAGATACGTAAATTGATAACAGAATTATCCAACTATATTTGAGATTACCCCTTTAACATTTGATTTTTAAAAACAGTCTTAGGGTTTCAGTTGTCTAATTTTAACTTACTAAGAATCCTAGTTGAAAAATATATTTATCTCAAATGACAAATACATTATCTGATTTAGTAAAGTAAGGTTCCAAATATAAAACAATTGTTATATGATTTAGGTCAGAAAAAAATTTTTTTCCTAAGGGAGGAGGAAAGGCTATATTTTTAAGAAACACGTGGTTTTGGTAACTTATCTGTTTCTCCTTTAGTTTTGATCTGTAGAAAGTACAGATCTTATGTGTGGCCCAATTTTAGCTCTATATAAATAAAATGGCCTGAATATTCTTGTACTCTCATTGCTTCATTCTATTCATATTTTTCTGACAATGAGTTTTATTTTATAAATTCAACTACTACAAATCATTCATGGAATCAAACATTAAATATTTACATAGAAAAAATAATAAACTAACAAAGCACACCTTATTTTAAAATCACCCCATTTTTTAGAACCAAATATGTTTTTAAGAGATTTGGATATCAGAGTTCTGAGGTATTTCCTAAGATATTATTTATCATCTTACATTTAATCTATAATAATGATATTCTGATACTTGCCATTTTATTCAACCTATATATGTTCATAAGACTTACTGTTTTCCCAGATTCGAGGTGACTTCTCTTCCGGTTTTCTTTAGAAGATTTGACTGGTTGATTTCCATTAGCCTCCACAAAGATAGAATAATTAGTAATTGGTTATTTCTCAAAGAACCACCAACACTTCATTTTTAACCATGGGTAACTATATGAAGAGTTTTTTTTAAATAGCTTTACTGAGATGTAATTCTGATGCCATACAATTCGCCTATTTAAAAGCATACGATTCAGTGATTTTTAAGTATATTCACAGAGCTGTGCAACCATCACCGCAGTCAGTTTTACAACACTTTCCTCACTCTAAAAACCTTGTACCCTTATAGCTATCATTCCCATATTCCCCCCTCCTCCCACCAGCCCGATGACTGTGTATCTCTACAGAAATCCCTCTTCTGGACTTTCATCTGAATGGAATGATATAATATGTGGATTTTCGTGACTGGCTTCTTTCACTTAGCATAATGTTTTCAAGGTTTATCCAAGTTGTGTGTACTGGTACTTCATTGATTTTTATGGCTGAATAATATCCCATTGTATGGATATGCCACATTTTGTTTATCCAATCATCTGTTAATACACATTTAGGTTATTTCCACCTTTTGGCTATTCTGAATGCTATATATTGTTTTTTAAATGAATATTGGATGATGACAAATTATTAATTGTCATACTACTATTCTCTAAAAGGACATACTTATACAACTGAAACTGGTAAATTATTGTATGCCAACTGTAATTGAAAAAAAAACCTCATTGAATTGTACAATGTAAATACAAACAACTAATTATGTTTCAATAAAGCCAAATAAATAAATAAATAAAAGGACATACTTATTTTCTGATGTTTGAAATGTACTCTTCGATAACTTCCTTGGGATATATACTACTAAATATTTTCATTTCTTGTCCTTTCCTAACCATAATTCAGTCACAATTCTTAAAATCAAGAGTACTTTGGCGAAGAGTTCATATTCAAAAATATGGGCAATTTCAGAAGTGAATTTAGGTTCCCAAAGTATCCTAATGTCACAATACAAGGAAATCTTGCCGAAAAGTTTTTAATGCTTGCTTTTCTCCCTATACCCTAGTGAAGGATACTCACCCTAAGTAGAAGATGCCAAGGAAGAACATTTTACTGCTTAGGGATACTAATTTTTGAAATTCTTTTATCTCTTGCTTTCATCATCATACTAGTTTGAATGCTGTCTTCTGCCAGTTCTAACTTCCCACTGAGAATGTGAGGGGAAAAGGGACACCTAAAAATGGCACTATAATCAGTGGTGTGCTGGTAAAGTTTAACAACCAGTTCTCTGAGAGAAACAAATCCTAAGTTGAGGCATTTGCTGATTTCCATGCTGTAAATACTCTCATCATGTCCAATTTCAAGCTACCTATGTAGGTCACTGAATGAGGACCTGGGAAGAAATGCTCCAGCATACTGCTATTAGAGTATGTTGTTTGTTTCCTATCTTTGGCTATAATGTTTTGCATATTTTATAGAATGCTTTTTCTCCACCTCTGAACTTTTGAGATTAATTTAAAGGCATAAAATAAAATACAAATTTATACGTAGTACAATTCTGGGTACTAAAATACTGAGTTTTTTACTGCTTAAGAACATGAGATTCATTTTATGTAAGATATATAAAAAATACTCATTTTTAATGTCTTAGTAACAAGATAATCCATTTAAAAGATAGAGCATGGGAACATATTGGCATTTCCTTGGGAGTCTAGATAATGGTGTCACTTGTCAAAGCCTTTCCTGGATTCCCCACTCTAACGTAACTTCAGTCAAATCAGTAAAATCAACCAGTCCTTCCTTTGTGCTCTATGTAGCCTATCCAGACGGCTATCATGGTCTATATCACTGCTTGTTGACCTCCAATTATTAAAATTTTAGCTAAAAACAGGAACTATGTGTTATTCATGTTACATCTCCAGCACCTAGTAAAGTACTTGACACATAATAGGCGCTTACTAAATAAATAGTGTGAATAAGCAAAATAAATTCACATATGGGGGAAAATTATAAAGTTAGAATGGAAAACAAATCTAAAGAGACACTGACCATTTTATTCTGAAAGATTTTCCCACTTCTTGTTTTGCTTTCAGATACATCAAGTTCAGATGTTTTACTGACTAATTGCTCAACCTAGAAAATAATTACACAAAACCACATAACAATAAAAGCTTCTCATAACATAATAATGAGTTCAAAAATTCAATTACATAAAATTCAGGGTACTGTTGATTTAATGAACCTAATAATTTTGAGTTGGTTCTTACTGTCACAAAAAGCAGAAAAGTAAAGATAGTGAAACTGGCACTGTACACAACTGACCATTCTCTGAACTGAGAAAGTCTCAATGGATCACCAGGCACTACTGTTCCAGAAGATAAAAACTTACGCCCACTCCCATTGGAGAAAGGGGCTGTGCAGAAGGGGACAATCATCTGTCCCATTATTTTTAAGTTCATTTTATCTAAATGTTACTTCAAGATTTTACTGTATATGGAAAACCAAATTAAACGTTCTGCTGCAAGGCAATAAAAATGTATTATATATTCCATTTATAAATACAGAGGGTGGTGGAATAAATAATTGCTTAAGATTCTATGATCGGTATTTAGATTTATTACTAAACAAATCCACCAGTAATATACTTAAAACTTTTCAATGTATAATTCCCAGATTTTGTTAATAAGCATTCTTAATACCTAATTTTATTCTAAAAACCTGGAGTATAATAAGAAAATATGAGAAATAACTAAATAAGCATACAAACAACAGTCTTTTGGGGAAAAAAACAAGTTAAAAGCAAGACGGAACTATCAAGTTTATACCTGAGAATGAGAAACTGAAAGATCTGGACTTTCTTTAGACCTCATAATTTCATCTTCCTCACAAATTAAATTTGGTTCTGTAAAAAAAAACAAAAAAGTTAAAATGGTATAAAATAGAGTTGGAAGTGAATTCATCTACA